AAATTAATATACCCTTGTGCACAAGTGCGCTCGGGTATAAAAAGAATACATATTTATTACATGAAAATATTTTACTTTAACAAATTACAGTAAAACATTTTACAAACTGATCCTAAAGTTATCAGGAAAATCGCGCAAATATGAAACATGCCCTATACNTTTTCATCCTGATCATTTATGTATACATTTGTCTATATCTATCTCGATTCGTTTTGGCTGTTACAAACAACCGTTATGTGAACAAAATTAATATACCCTTGTGCACAAGTGCGCTCGGGTATAAAAAGAATACATATTTATTACATGAAAATATTTTACTTTAACAAATTACAGTAAAACATTTTACAAACTGATCCTAAAGTTATCAGGAAAATCGCGCAAATATGAAACATACCCTANTTACAAACTGATCCTAAAGTTATCAGGAAAATCGCGCAAATATGAAACATGCCCTATACTTATTACATTATAAAAGTAAGAAGTTATTTTAAAGAACTATTTAACTTCTATACATTACAACAATAAAATTAAATTCCAAATACACAAATGTTTGCAAATATTCCACACAAAAATTTCGCGCACCTCTCTCCCATGTTTCATGTCGATTTCACAACTGNATATTACATTATAAAAGTAAGAAGTTATTTTAAAGAACTATTTAACTTCTATACATTACAACAATAAAATTAAATTCCAAATACACAAATGTTTGCAAATATTCCACACAAAAATTTCGCGCACCTCTCTCCCATGTTTCATGTCGATTTCACAACTGAAAAAAAAAAATCACTTACTTAGCTAGTAAAAAGTAATTTAACTTTTCGCTTTAATTCGCTTTTCTAAACAAAAATTTTTTTATTTTCTTTTCTTCTCAGCAAATCGGCCGCTATATACGTCGCGAGGAGTCGGCGCTATTTACACCAAAAACAAGCGAGGTAAATGAATGAATGATGGAAAATTAAAGTAAACAAATAAAGCTATACAAATATATGTACGTACTTGCATATTTACATATAAGTTTTGTTTTATGTCGTTTGTAGTAAGTAAATGTTGTGGTAACTTTTAAATGCTTTTCGTATGATTGTAGAAACTGTGGGTTTATTGAACCGAAAATTATTTAAGTAGTAAACAACAAAAAATTTAGCAATTGTTCGTTGCTTAATCGAAATTTTTCAATCAGTTAATTTCGCTTTTGCCAATGCCAAAGCCAAATAAATCTGATGTATTTTGGAACGAACCGTCCGTCAGCCCTCATCAATTTTTATTCGGTTTCAGCGTTGCGCCATCTTCATTGTCATTTTTCGTTCTGATGCAATGAAATCTCTCAAATTGCTTTAGTTTTAGGTCATCTCATCTGGAATAAGAGGGTCATCTAATTTGACAATTTAAAAGTTTAAAGTAGAATTTTTGTTTCCTATTTTCCTGTTAAACACCTAGGTTTATGTTAAGAGCACTGCTCTTTAAAAGTTCTCTTACAGACCACATAGGCATGCATTTTTGACCTAGCGCACCATTTTCTTATTACCACTTTTACTCAAACCACTCTAATCTTTTTGCGATTCAAGTAAGAAACTTCAACACAAATCAACCTAAACGATACCGGCCTTTGAATATGTTATCAAAGTCGAAATTATATGGGGTTCGAACCTTTCAAGTCAAGTGATCAATGGGTTGGTCTTCACTGAGAGCAATTCAATGCCCAATAGAAGCGTGTGTTAAGACTATCTATGATGGTGGGGGGCAGAATATCCTACCATATTTCAATATGTCATTTAAGCGTCTATTAAATCCCTTATTGTACCAGCCGGAATAAAAGAAATCCGATTGCTGGAAAGGCGAGCTGGCGTATGCTTATTGGAGTCCGACGTTAAAATATATTTCCATCTCCATAGCTCCTTCAGAGATATCTTGTTAATATACGTTATCTTTAGACAATGGTTCAATTGTGTACTATTCCGGAGTTTACCATCGCCAAAGGCTCCCGCTTTCTTACAATCAGGATCGAAATGAAAAGAGACCATCTTTTTGATAGAACATGAAATAGTTTAGGTTGTCGTGATCGTCTGTAAGACTCATTTCGGCTCAAGGCATATTTTGAATCCGGCAGGAATTTTAGAAGGTCCCCGATTTCCGCGCATCTAAGGTCTTTCACGTTATCGAAGAATTGTCTATCTAGAGTGGAATGTCTTCGTCTGCATCTTGAAAACTTCTAATATCGTACGCCTTGCCAATTACTTAGGCAGTGTCCTACCATAATAGATACTAACAAACTGATATTCCTCTTATTGAAGCTAGTATAAGGTCAGTGCGTTTAGCGCTGAGTCACCGGCCATAATTCCCTAGCACTTTTGCAAGTTATTTCGTCATACCATCTGCCGTTCGCTACTTCAGTGAGCCTCTCGTAAATAAGTAGTTTTCAAGTTTGTAAGCGTTCTCCTTTTTCATCATTTATATCCCCAATAAGTAGTTTGGTGCCGAGTCACGCCAGTTCATCGGCCTTAATGTTCCCCTCAATGTCGCAATCCATATCACCTTTGGGCGAAATGACTCGGCCATCATTCATGGCTACCATGGCGAATGTCGACTATTTGTAAGATATTTGATTGCCGCCTGGCTGAAGATGCAGATATCACATCACTCTTTACCAGTTTTGTGACGCTGTCTATTTCCATAAGTTCCACCGAGAAGCACTACAGTGATTCGGAAAACGAAAGCTAAGAGAATTGACCAGCATTTCTAGAGTATACACCCACACCAACCCTTCCCTCAAGCTTTCCGCTATTTGTGTGTACATGAATGGACTCGCCACTTCTTAGAGCGTCTCGTTTTCACTATTCCCTTGAGGGAAGCCCCGAAAACTTCGTTAGTATCCTACCATGACCATAACTGGTAATTAACCACTTACTTAGACCATTCATAAGAATTGCCGCAACACTTGTTACCTGTTTGGGATGTATTTAGGTATACTGGAAAACAATTAAGTAGGCCATACAGTGCCTTAGATGGTGTTGTTCTCATCGCACCATGAGTGCGGATTTTATCCACCTTTATAAAGTATACCGCTTTTCCAATGGTGTCCTACCATACTACTATGCCGTGATAGAGAATTGGCCTAACTACCGCTGTTATAACCAGTGCATTATTTTGCGTTCCATTCCCCACACTTTTCCTATTGACCTACTATAAGAGTTATTTCCTACCTAGTATGAGCCGGCTTTTTACTTTTACCGACAGGGGTTTCCCCTATAGAGTTATAGCATTAAAGTCGTGTAGCTTGTGCTTAGTACTAAAGGACACTAGGTCCGTATTTTCAGAATTTGTTAAGAGATCTTTGAATTAGATCAGCTAATGTTGGAAGGTCTTTGCCCGAAACAGCTATTACAATGTCGTCGGCGTATGCAACTATCTTTGTATTTTTAGATCATTGCAAAATTGTCGTTTATATTATTTATTTTTTCGCTCAAATTTAATCGTTCTTTTGTGATTCTTTTTTCAATCAAGAATAATCGTTATTTTGAATAAATTTTTTTTTTTCATTTTAACCTATTATAATGGCATTTTTATGACCAATATAAATAATCAACATTAAATCTGAAAATAACGGTCATAATATGGTCGAAAAAACTAAAAAATAACGATCAAAAATTTATCGAAAAAATAAAAAGCCAAAAATAACTAGCTATTAATCTTGATGGCAAAAGTAAAAATCATCATGTAATGGTTAATTTTGATCAAAAAAATAGAGATCCAATTTAAACGGCTTTATTGATCATTTTTATTATAATGATAATTACCGTTACTCTTACGTATCC